CGGTGGATTCATTTGTATAGCCATAAGAAATATTTGGATCTAAAAAATGATAAATTAAACCTTTATTTGTTTTATCTATAGTTAAGTCGTATTTAAAAATTAAAAAAAAATTGCTACACAAAACAATCAAGATTCTCATTTCGATAATACCTGCTTAGTTTGAACTAATAGTAAAATAAAAATAAAATTGACAATTTAATTAGATGAAATTTGTATGTTCTTTTCATGATAAAAATTACTGAAAACCAATTATTTTCGATTTTGATTTTTTTATGATGTCGAGTAATTTTTGTCTAATAACATGCATTATAAACTGATTAATTATTATCATAAGTACCTCTTCTGAAGTAGTGACATCAACTTTAGATAATCGAATATTTAATAATGTCGTTTGTACACGTTTGGCAATGTATTCGGATGCTTTATGAGAACAATCGCAAATTGTGAATAGTAAACCCATGGAATACGCAAAATCAACCAGCAAACCCATTTCCTTAAATGTAAATGTAAAACCGTGGTCGATTACCTCGCTGGTGAATCCATATGCCTACATCATTTAAGTTGCTGTACAAAAACAAAATGTAATATAATGTGGAAAATAACAAATTCACAAAACATCGTTTAGTAGCTAAATCTTTCCGATTTTGTGAATCGACGTTTCAAAGTCCTTGGAGTCGGATGCTACAGTTTTCAGGTGGATGTGTGTATGTGCGTATGTGCGATTATCTCGATAACGAACGTGGGACCAATTGCATTCGACACATAATCACGTAACTTAAAACTGATAAGGTTTTGAACAAAATCGGCCCAGCGTGATGCGGAAGTATTAAAGTTATTTTATATTATTTGAAAAACGTCTGCATTTTTTTACTACATATGATTTTCTACATACGATATCTTGTTAGCAGGATATCGTAATATAAATATTTTCAATCTTCGGTAGGTATGTCACATTTACGAACAGTAAAGTAAAGATTGATTTATTTACCCACAGTAATTTTTTCCGTTTCTGGTAATAATAATGAACAGTAGCAGAGCAATTAAATCTATTATGTTTATAAATAATAAAAGAAAACTTTTGACTGAACTCAATATTAATAAAATTGTAGCTATTTAATTTTCATAAACCAAAACTATCATTATAACTTTAAATAAATTAGAAGCGGTATTGACAAAATAATACTGTATGAAAATAAATAAAAGTAAAACAAAAATACTGGTATGCAAGGCAAGACAAAATAGGGAAAGAGCGAATATACAGATAGGAGACGAAAAATTAGAAGAAGTGGCCGATTTTAGGTATCTAGGAAGTCAGATAAGTCAGGACGGAAGGAGTAGTAGGGATATAAACCAGAGGAAAAAGAAGTCACTTCTATACTCGCGAACGATTCAGAAATTCGAAAAAGGTTGTCAAAGGTGTATGTTTGGAACACGGTGCTGTACGGGTGCAAAACATGGACAGTGGGCGGGGCGGAATAGAAAATATTAGAAACGTTCGAAATGTGGTGTTACATGCGAATGATGAGGATAACGTGGGTAGAGAATATTAGAAATGAAGAGGTATTGGAAAGAGTAGGAGAACAGAGGACTCTATGGAAGTCAATAAGAAATAAGCAAGATAGGACACCTTCTCAGACATGAAGGTCTAGTTAGAGACATATTAAAAGCAGCAACGGAAGTTAGGAGGGGTACAGCTAGACCTAGATTAGATTACTGTTCGCAAATAGTTAAAGGTATGGGTTGTTCTAGTTTTAGGGAAATGCGAAGATTAGCTCAGGATAGGAAAGAGTGGAAGTGCGTGTCCAACCAGTCTTAGGACTGACGACCTTATGATGATGATGATGAAAACTATCATTAAGCTTATTCACAAGAAATGGAAAATGATGAAGAAATTTTATTTATCTTTAAGGTAATCTTGAAAATTAAATTCATAATTGGATTTCTGTAGTTAAATTTATTTATATTTTTCACAGATGCAGCGAACTGAATTTTTATTGTTTCATCATTTGTTATTGTTTGAATGGTTGAATAATATAACATGTAGTTTTTCGTTTTTTTGTTGCGATAATGTAGGTGACTTAAGAAAACTATAACACATTAAACGCTAGTTGAGTTACGTTTTAAATTTAACGTTGGTGTGCAAAACTAATAATACGAAAAAGAAATAGGTAGAACTTACTGCAATAGTAACATTAGTAAGTAAAAACAGAGATAAAGTTGAATACGTTCTCGAATATGCACTGCCAAGTTTTTGAAGCAGTTCACTTAAACTCATCCAGAGTTTTTTATATAGTGCAACAAGAGTTGTTGTCACATCACCCTCCATATCCTGCAAATTTAAATTTCTTACAATCGGTTTTTATTAAAACTAATTT